ATGCGCGCATACATGCTTATTGTGCATGCCTAGCAGCTTTAAGCTAAAGAGAATATGAATAATGTTAAGAAATACATTGAATTTGGGTTTGTTAAACTAATATAACCATTCAATAAAACAATCCATAAATCACTGTCTTACAAATAAACTTGCAAACATTGACTAATTATTCAGATGATATGGGTGTTAGTATATAGGCTACAGAAAGAAAAAAAAACAAAAAACAGTCCGTGGGCAAAAAAATGCTATAAGAACACAAATCAAATGCCCTAATTGGGTGACTATATTTTGATTACCAAAAACCAGGACTCTCGGCCCAGCAAACAGATACTCAAATGATACTCCAAGTTTACTCAAATATGCCTTATTAATTTCAAAACATTTAAAGTAGGCTATGCCTCCTAGAAAATGGACACAAATTCAGATAAGCTTCTCAGAGGTTACTCAATGTTTTATTATGAGTTTCAAAAATAATGAATGAAATAATGATAGAAATAATGTCTCTTCTTTATTAGAAAAATAAATATATAAATTATAAATAACTATAAAATACCTCCAAAATTGAACAAAAATAGCTCTCACAAACTTACAAAAATGAACTAACAAAATTATATCTTTAGTTTTCTTCTTCTTTATCCTGTTTTTCTTCCTCATCCTCCTTGTTTGCCCGTCTGTATTTTTGCTGTAGAGCTGATCTTTCCCGGCAGTTTTTTGAAAACCAGGACATATTCATCTTTTAGGCTAATAAAAAACAGCCAGGACGGCCAGGGCAGGACGTGAAAACAGGACATGTCCTGTTGGTCACCCTAATGGTCAAATTCATAGTGATTCTATCTGTCTTTTATTTTATAGCCTACATGTTTCATAATTTTAATAATTTGATTGTATTTGATTTGTAAGTGCTATCTGTCAACAGTCAACACCTATCTTTATTTGCTTTCTCAGAGATGAATATTGTTGAATGTGAAGCTAATAGAGCTGTTCAGGTTGTAGTAAGAGAATTAGATTTTAGACATGGGTTACATCAAAAAAAAAAATTGTAGCCTATTGGTTTTTAAAATGTAAAATTTGGAATTAGAAGTAAAGCATTAGGCTATTTAAAGAGGCTTTCACATGTTGTTCTTTGACTTTTATACAAATTGCTTGTGTATTTGAAGAGTTCAGATGCAAAAGCCTCTAAATGCCATTTGAAATTTTCTTCTTTAATGATGATTTTTATCAAACTTGTATATTTAAGTTCAGTAATTTCACTTAAATAACAATTAATAGGTAATTATCATTGCCGTTTAAGTGAAATTACTGAACTTAAATATACAAGCTTGATAAAAATGATCATTCTAGAAGAAAATTTAAAATGGCACTTAGAGGCTTTTGCATCTGAACTCTTCACTTGACCCCTCTAATTTTGCAAACATAATGCATGGTGCATCACTTGCCAGACAGCCAGACAAATCCAACATTCAATTATTTTATTAGTTCTTAAAGTTCTAAAACGACAGCAGTCCCATTTTACATCCGTTGCATTTTTACCACCATAGAGTCCACAAGTGCCAGGATCTCCCCAAAGTAACCGTCCTGCTCCCCTACGTCCTGCTCTGTGAGCACCAGTTCTTGGTATTGTTTTTGCAGTTCACTAAGAGATGCTGTCAATGAGGGATTCTGTTTATACTGAGTGTGACATTGAGCCATCATGGCAAGCAGAGTGCGCAGAGTCTTCTCTCTCCAGTCGTGCTCAGGTGACGCTAAAAGCTCAGGCACCAGCCTGCACCACCCCTGCTCCACCAACACGGGCAGGAGGGAGACTTCAGCATATTGACGCAAACGTTCCTGGTGAGAGGAATCTGGGATAAGGTCCATTCCCACCTGTGATATCAGCTCCTACAAAACAAAGTATCAGTAAATTCTAAGAATAAGCTTGATACATATGGAAATTACATTTTCAGTTCGCAATGTAAATATTTTCTAAATAACTACCATTCAAAGGTTTGGGGCTGGTAATAGTTGTTAATGTTTTTGTCACCAAGGCTGCATTTATTTGATCAAAAATACAGTAAACAGTAATATTGAGAAATATTATTATGATTTTGAATAACTTCATTTAAAATGTAATTTATTGTGACGGCAACGCAGATTTTTCAGTCTTCAGTGTGACATGATTGGATTGGATTTGGTGCTGGAGCAACATTTCTCATTATTATCAATGCTGAAAACAGTTGACAGCTGCTAAATATTTTTGTGAATACCATGATATATTTGTTTCAAGATTTTTTGATGAAATTTTGACCCCAAATTTTGCATGGTACTAGTGTAGCAAAGTTTAAACTTGTAAACATATGAACCTTCTCAATGATCATATCGTAGAGAACCGTGATGATTCTCACACGGAGGGTCTCGGCCCCTGGAGTTTGAAAGAGTTCGCTAAGCATCTGCACACCCCCAAGCTTCAGAAAGTGACTTTGAGCAAACGGGAAGTGACGCAGTAATGAGGCCACAGCAAATAACACCTGTATTAAATCAGAATGTCAACCGTAAATGTGATGAATTAGTATGATGAAGACAATTTAATTCGCTACTCTAACTCACTATTAAACAGCATAATACCCATGCTTTCATGTTGGTTTTACCTTTTTCTTGACGGCCATTGGTCGCTGAGTGGCAAGCAATGTCAGCAGTTTCTGTAACGCACCGCCTTCAGCTGCCTCAACCTGCACTGATGGATTACTAGAAAAAGGTACACGATGATGGATTGCATCGGTGTAAAGGTAGGGTCACGTTACATAACATTATGTGGGTAAAAACATTCCTCTGTCTATTGTAAAATGAGTAGCACAGCTCACACAGAAGTCACTTTTAAACCAAGCAGCTTTCTGTTGATCAAGGTAACCAAATTGAACCTGCTTCGAAATCTGCGTGGGGAAATATTTCGCCCTTATGGAAAATTGCATGCGTGGATTCCTATTAAAATGACTGGATTTCAACCACGAAAGTTCACTGATAAAAAGTTAAATGTGACTGTACATTAAATCATGTGTAGGCAGCAATTTTGCTAGAGAGAATGACAATTACCTTGAAACAGCAGATCCGAGCACAAACGCAGCACTCTCCTGAAGTCTAACATCTGTACCGTTTAAAGCATTTATAACCAATTGCATTCCTCCCATGGACACCAAATTTTGGGCATTATCTACCTAAATGAAAAAAACAATGAGTTTTAAAGACTTTGAAAAAACATGGACGCAAACTTTCATAACTGCAATTAAAGCATTACCTGGTGCACAAGGTATTCCAGGTCAAGAAGAGCTGTTAGTTTTTCGTCAGTTGTGCTGTTAGTATTATTGAATTGGTTTAAAAGTTTCCTCATAACTTGAACATCTGTCTCTACAAGCATGTCGAGTGCCTCCATGTCTTTTTTCAGCTCTTCGATGGGGCGAAATTGGGCCTTCACCGCATCTTCCTCCTATGTTTGAACATCTTGATTAAAAAAAAAAACTCAATAAGCAATGCAGAAAAAAGGTTAGAGAACAACTGAAATGAACATACTTGTTTTGCGTCTACAGGATCATCCATTCCTTCTTTAATTTTTTTCAGAGCCTCTTTCAACTCCTCAGCTGTGAATGAAGGGCCTTGCCTGCACCACAGAGAGGAAAAATATAACTATATGATACAGTATTTATTGTAGAATATGTTTTCCTTCTATTACTATACCCATTTCCATCACTCCAGTGTTTGAGACCTTCCTCTTCTCCCATCTTGACCTCTCTGTGGCCAGTCTGAAGATTCAGTCTGACATGAGAGCCTGCTGGTACTGCATGACCTAAATTGAATAACATATATATGGAATTGGTCTGTTAATAATTTATTTATTTACAAACACAAATGTCAGCATGGGAATATAGCCACCTGGTTTGAGAGTTTGCCATTTGTCTGTAGGTCTAAACACCTCCAGATCTTCAGGATCATCATTCCTCAACTGTGTTTCTTCTCCCTTGCTATTATCACCTGAACCTTCTTTGATAGACAGGGCTGTTGGAGACTGCAGAGCCAAAAAAGTATACTGTTGTTAACGTATTAGAATAAAAATAAATACTGAGATATGAAACAGCAGTAGGCTACTCACCTTCACATTGTGGGCAGATATGAGATGAAGACTGACGATCCAATAAGTGATTGCCACTCCAAGTTTGATACTCCACTTGTTTTGCATTTTAAGTTTGGCCATTGTCTTAGACGAAAAAAAAACCGCAATGTGTGCAGTTAAAATACAAAATTAACCTGATAAACAATCATACGTCATCTATTACCAGGAGACCAGCCGAACCTAAAATCCATTCCCAAACTAATACTAAATTAACTCATTCTATTTGCTAATTCTACCGTAAAACATGTAAATATATTGAATTAATATGTTAACGTGCTGAGTTAAGCGGTTGTATCGTACAGCAAGAAACAACTAGAAACCATGTGCATTTCCGCAGGCGACCTGAACGGTGTGCGTGAACCAATCAGATAAAAGCAAGTGTGCGTTTCAGAGAACGTCATTCTTTTTGGTCGCGGTGATTGGCTACAAGATGTACGCTTTCATGACGTTGTAAAATGTGATTTAAACATTTCGTTGAAAGATATGAAGAGTTCAGATGCAAAAGCCTCTAAGTGCCATTTGAAATTTTCTTCTAGAATGATCATTTTTATCAAGCTTGTATATTTAAGTTCAGTGATTTCACTTAAATGGCAATGATAAATACCTATTAATTGTTATTTAAGTGAAATTACTGAACTTAAATATACAAGTTTGATAAAAATCATCATTAAAGAAGAAAATTTCAAATGGCATTTAGAGGCTTTTGCATCTGAACTCTTCATTTTGTATTATTTTAACTTTTATATGTTTAGAATAAAATGCTATTTAAATTTCACCACCTTCCAGATTCACCAAAGCCCGCCTTTTTTCAGCGGGGAGGCGTGTCTTGCTGCAGGAGAGAACATTGCGTCATGACGACAGTCGTTTTAAAAAAGGCCCTTTCCTTTTTGAACAGTCGACACGGCGGTCTAACAGCGAGAAATGTCAGGAATGGAGCAGCTTTGCAAACTTTTCGTTGGCGGTCTGAACGTCCAAACAACAAATGATGGCCTCCGCGCTCATTTTGAACAGTACGGGGCACTCACGGACTGCGTGGTGGTCCAAAACGATCAACTTCAGCGGTCCCGTTGTTTCGGCTTCGTAACTTACTCCTCAGCAGAGGAGGCCGATGCAGCAATGGCCGCTAGGCCACATGTTGTAGACGGTAAAAACGTGGAGCTGAAGAGAGCCGTGGCTCGGGAAGACGCGGGAAAGCCCGAAGCTCTTGCAAAAGTCAAGAAAATATTCGTCGGGGGCCTAAAAGAGAACATCGAAGAGAACGACCTCACCGATTATTTCTCGCAGTTCGGCATGATCGAGAAAGCCGAAGTCATCACTGACAAAGACACCGGCAAGAAGCGCGGGTTCGGCTTTGTTCACTTCGAAGATAACGACTCTGCCGATAAGGCCGTCGTGCTCAAGTTCCACATGATCAACGGAAACAAAGTGGAAGTAAAGAAGGCGCTGACGAAACAAGAGATCCAGGCCGCCGGTGGAGCTCGGGGCGGCAGGGGGAGAGGAGGAGGAAGAGGAATGGGGCGGAATCAAAATGGCTTCGGCGGCGGGAGAGGAGGATACGGCAGCTACGGTGGTGGCTATGGCGGAGGCTACGGCAGCAGTGATGGCGGCTACGGCGGTGGCTATGGAAGCGGAGGCTACGGAGGAGGTTACGGGGCTGGATATGGAGGAGGCTACAGCGATCAGATGGGAGGCTATGGCGGTGGTAACGGCTACAGTGACTTTGGCGGCGGATACGGCCAACAGTCCTCCGGCTACGGGCCCATGAAGAGTGGAAGCACGTACGCCGGAAGGAGTGGAGCCCCGTACCCTCGTGGTGGCGGCGGTGGTGGTCCTGGTTACGGCAGGGGTGGCTACGGTGGCTACTAAAGCAGGTTGGGAAAAGACTCGGAAAGCTGTCCCCCTAGGTTCTCTCGGTTTCCACATTGGGCTCATTCCCGGCCATGCAAGAGATGGCGGACACTGTGAAAGCATACCTTAAAGACCTCAGTTCTTAACAGGTAGGAAGAAGATCTCTTCCCAGAAACCTGACTTGCTCGACCAGCTTTAGTTGTAGGACATGTTCTATCATATATATATCATTTATTTCCCACATTGTAGGACATGGAGCAAGTTGGCCCTGGTTTTCTTTTCCTTTTATTATTATTTTTTTTAACTAATGCGATTTGTTCGTAACCCATTCGTTTTTAAATTCATTTTTTTTTTTCAACACTGGCGATATGTTGTCAATGCATTCTCAGTAGACCTGTTTTCTATATAAATTGTTGCTTAGCAGTGTCATGGGGGATTAACGCATGCAGTTTTGAGTTTTTGTTCGTCTTTGTAAAACCCACCACGATTTTTTTCCAAACTAGTTTATCATGATGGGATAGAGTAGACTACGTTGTTTCTCTTATTTTGTAAACTAAATCATAAACGCACTCATTGAGTTCAGTTCAACGCTGTATGAGCATAATTACTTCCAACATTCTCTTGTGTATTGTATATTATGTCTTCAGATCAATCCAGTATTGTTAAACCTTGATATGCAAATGTATGTTACTTTTTAAATAAAAGTTTCACAGCTTAATTATCCCTTTCCAGACGGCGTTTTGGCTGATAGACTTTAATGGGTTTTCACCACACCTGAGATAATCATATTAAAGCATATATGCATTGCTTTCTATTTGACAACTTACGACTGCCCCACATTCAGTGATATACAAGTATATATATATAGTGTTCATGGTTTATTTACTCTTGATTCCCACATATAGGTGTTCTTTCAGTTATTCCAGTACTTCAAAATAGCTGTATAGCAGTTTGTTTGCACAGGGAACCTGTTCAGTACCTGGGTTCGATTGTGATAGGACTGAAATATCTCATTAGGATATCATCCTGCGATCTAGGTATGTAATCAACCTGTCTTCACTACGTGTTGGTCAAGTATTTAAATTTGTCATACATGGACTATTTATTCCATGAGTTGTTTTATTAGCCTCAATCCATATGTCAAGTGGACTTTACAAGAACTGGTGCGATGGATTTTGGGTCTGTAACGCCGCGGCTTATTAGGGCCTTGACCTTTTTCTTTTTTTTTTCTCTCTCTCTTAACTTTCTAACTCTTTTTGTTACATTTTCTAATGTGTTCTCTTCTTCCTCCCCAGGTGACCCCAGATGCTGGACTCTGCCCACATCAACTGTGGCCATGGAGTTCGGTTTATCTGCATGATCCACTGAGTTTTATTTTAATGAAGGACTGGTGAAATCTCTTTTTTAAAAAATCTGTTAAGTATTTTTGTATGCTTTATAATAAAAAACTTTGAAATGATCACGTCGTTTTGTGTGTGTGTGTGTGTGTGTGTGTACCGGTATTATTGTGTGGTTTGGAATTAGTTTAATTCTAATGAGGGAGTCTGTAGGGATGGAGAATATTGAGGAGTAATTGGAGATGGATTTGTGCATATGTGCCTTGCAAACAGATGGCCCAATAGAGTAATCAGGAGAAATTGAATTATCTCTTAAATTTGGGATGTGTAAAATATGCAAAAAGCTCTTTTTACAGCAGCAATTAGTTGAGTGCTTGTGCATTGTGATGTTGATGCATGCACTGACTGCAGTTTAGAATTATTCATACATGGTGGAACGAGGTCATTTTTGTATGGACTTTTTGCACTGTGTTAATACAAGTGTAGTTTACTTGCAAATACATGGTGAAAGAGTAATAAATCTTAGTATTTTATTAATTTGATTGTTTGTCAAAGCAGAACATGCACAAATAAAGTTTACCTATAGCAGAATCCATCATGTTGTATGTATCTGATGTCAAATCTCCCTCCTTCATATGATGTGCTTGGTTAATATTGGATTAATTTGTTAATTTTGAGTTTGACTATTTCCTACATTAGAATTACTGAAACTCACTTGCAAAATGTTATTGGTACAGTAGTTTCGCTCAAGATCAGTATGAACTGCAATCATAAGGTACGTTGGCCATGAGCCTAAAAATTGATTATTGTATTTAAAAACAGGCTAAACTAAGACAGGATTTTAAAAAGGTTAAAGGATTTTAAAGTTAATAGTGTGTGTATAAAAGTTTTGTCATTGCATAATTGGTTTTGCATGATTTCATAATGTATGTAAATTCATGGGGTGCATTTTCTTTTTGTGATGGCCATATGGATTTAAGTTAATAAAAAAAAAAAATCAATTTATATATAAAAATATATAATCACATTCCTTGAAATCTATACTATATATTAAATGTCTGTGGCCTGAAAGTCATACTTTTTGAAATTCTTTTATCAGGACCATGTGAATCCTGGATTCAGAATTGAACTACAATTTTGGTTACACTTATCAACTTAATATTTCCAAATTCAATAAGGTTTCTAAACTCAAAAGTAATGTGTTCAAAATTGGCATTGATCCTTTTAATTACAGCTCACGGTGCAACATGTTAATTAATAGAACGGGGTTGGTTTAAGTGATTTACTTTGTAGCCAATCAGAAACAACTACGCATGTGTTGACGCGTACAAAGGGAAACGCCTCTACAACGCATTTCAAAAGCATTGACTTCTTTCTTCCGTTGCATGTGATCTCCGTCAGTTGTACGTCCATTGCAAGAAAATGACTAACCAGCTTTGTAAACTATTTGTTGGCGGCCTGAACGTCCAAACAACCGACGAAGGCTTGCGGGCACATTTTGAACAATATGGACAGCTGACCGACTGCGTGGTGGTGATGAACCAGCCACTGCAACGCTCCCGCTGCTTCGGCTTCGTAACGTACTCGAGCGTTGAGGAAGCAGACGCCGCCATGGCTGCTAGGCCTCATGTCGTGGATGGCAACAACGTGGATCTGAAACGCGCGGTGGCCCGGGAAGACGCTGGTAGACCAGAGGCGCTAGCCAAGGTCAAGAAAATATTTGTCGGGGGATTGAAAGACGACATCGAGGATGAACACCTCCAAGATTATTTCTCCCAGTTCGGTGCTATCGAGAAAGCTCAGGTAATCACCGACAAAGACACTGGGAAAAAGCGAGGCTTCGGCTTTGTTTACTTTGAAGACAACGATTCTGCCGATAAAGCCGTCGTGATGAAGTTCCACAGCATCATCGGACACAAAGTGGAGGTGAAGAAGGCGCTCACCAAGCAGGAGATGCAAGCTACCGGCGGTCGCGGCGGAAGGGGAGGCCGAGGAATGGGCCGGGGAAGCGGGTATGGCGGCGGAAGAGGTGGTTACTATGGCGACTACGGCTATCAGAACGGCGGATACGGTACCGAAACCAGCTACGAAAGCCAAAGTGCTTACGGGGGAGGCTACGGTGACCAGATGAGCAGCGGATACGGCAACGGGAATGGCTACAGTGACTTCGGCGAGGGTTATGGACAGCAGGCTTCTGGCTACGGTGCCATGAAAGCAGGCGGCTACTTTTCCGGCAGGAGCAGTGGGCCGTACCCACGCGGCGGTGGTGGAGGAGGTGGTGGTGGATATGGAAGAGGTGGCTATGGTGGATATTAGAAGCACTAATGTGACTCTAAGCTGTACGTCTTTTTTTATTTTTACGTAAACTGTGTGGACACTGGACTATTTGTTTGGTATTGGGTTTAAATTTGAGAATTGCTCTGTGCCATTACCAGTACCAGCAGACACGCGTTGTTCCTTTGTTTAGATTTAAGTGGTCCTGTTTACCCAAGTCAAGCCTGTATAACACCATGTAGGCTTCTGTATGATCTGTTCTAGGTTTATTGCCTGTCCATCGGTAAAGATGAAACTCAGGGGTAATTAAATTTTAAGCAGCTCACTTTAATTTACATGACCTCTTTTCTTTTGGTTTTTAAGTGTGATTTAAGTTTTAAAGCCATTACACCGTTCCTATTGTACAACCTTTTTTTTAAAAGTATATTTAATTTGATCCAAATGGCCATATAAGCCTTTTAACCATTAAAAAAAAACTTTTTCATAAACTTTGTTTGGTTGACTCGTTCTTGACTCAAACCACTGTTTCAAATGTGACCTTAATGTAATTCTTTTAAGTTTTTGTTGTCTTTATGAGCGACTGGGCAAACATGCCTTAAAATATTTTTAAAGGCCATCTCTTAAGACTTAATTTTATTTATCTAGTCGGAACACATTGCATTCAATACAATTTTCAAACTTTTTTTTTTTTTGTACCTTCATTTAATGTAACTACTACAGTTTACAAGTTTGGGGCCTTCACAATTTGTATATAATACCTATTTTTAGTGACCAAAATAGACAGAATTAATTTATAAAAACATCAACTCTATTTCAGACTCAAATGATTTTGAAAAAAAAAAGTGTATTGCAGTTTGAATCTCAACATTGATAAATGAAACAAGTCAGCATATTCACATTTCTTCAGGATTATGTCTAATGGATGCTGGATCCTCAGGGTTTCTATCACCTGAATAAGTTTTTTTATTTAAAGTAAATTAGAACATTTATTTTAAACTAAATCACAATACTATGTTTTTAATGTATCCATTGATTTTGAAACTGACATTTGGGTTGTGGATATCCATGTTGCTACTTTTAATAGTCAAATATCACATTAATACATCTGAATCACCATCTCATTAAAAGATGGTATTTAGAGATCAAGGCTGGCTGACAACCAAACATTGATATACACAGCATCGATCTCCTAATTTATTCCCCTTTAGATCAGGGATGGGGAATTAGCTGTAAAATATGTCTTTAAATCTTTTTAAAAATGGCATTTTTATAGCCTAGAAATCTAGACGCATCCTAGCGGCAGCAAAAATTATTTTGCAGCAAAGTGTGCAAACATCACAACATAACATCTTGATGTAGGTCTGGCATGCCAGGCTAGCATTTTTATTCATGGGATGTGGATTATGGTAATACCATTTGGAAGAAATATATTTTGAACAAACAGTTTTTACTGTTCTCTAAAAGTTGAGAATGAGAACCCAAAAAATAGGACATCTATGCATTTGTTTGTTGAAAATTTAAAGATAAATCAATTGAGATGGTTTACATTTGCTTGTTGGGGTAGGCTAGTATTGCTTGTCAGCTGACACAAAAGTTCCCCATTTGTATTCACATAATTGCAAATGTTTTATAGTTAATAATCTCTTTAAAAACAAATTACATGAATTATACTTTGATTTCCCTTAATAAAAAGTTAATTGCGTAAGATGGTGTGAAATTTGTGGATTATTAATCGGGCCCCTTAGTATGAAGAAGAAAAAACGTTGGTCCTCATCACTATCGAAGTTTCCCATCCCTGCCTTAGATGAAGGAAGATAATGAGGATTCATCTATAATTTTTAGATACAATTTTATATATGTCAATATTCTTAATGAAGCGGTTGAGTAATATGCCAAGTAGGGAAAAACTGAATTTCTGCAGTAATTATAAGCTACTACTAACACTATAAGTTTGTCATCACAGTAAGTGGTCAAATGTCAATTGATATCTTAGAATATGTATGAATCAAAGAGTTCACTTCAAGCTTTTGCAGAAATGATCTCAATATATGTTTTTTTTTTATGAAAAGAGTCGGGTTTATTAAATAAATATATTGACAATGTCAATACATATATATTAAGAAATGATCTATTAACCACACAAAGAATCAAATTTAAATTTTAAATCTATTCGAGGTCCATGCTCAAGTGTGAGAAAACTGCATATCCAATTTTATTTTACAAATATTGAGAAAGCACTACCCACTTCTATTGAAAGCAACTCTGAATTAAACTTTCTAGAAATGTAAGATCAAAGCAACAGTGTTTTACTATAAACAGATTTAATTAGAATTTTAGCTATTATAAATCATCAAGCCTTCATCTGACCTTGTTCCAATCAAACAATAATACCAGTGAAAATGGAGTACAACAATGCCAAGTTCAAGACGCAGCCTGATGAATGTTGCTGTATTGTCTTAATCACTAGTGACTAATGACCCCAGTAATACAACAAACCAAGAAAACGCTTCTCGTTACAAAATGCTGGATAGAATAGTCAAAAAACGTAGCGTTTTTTATTGTTTGGATAGGAACAATCTTCTGAAGTGGCACGTTGGAATATGAACACTTGATTAGCGCAATGTTACTAGCTCCTCTGAGGACGTCGGGTGGATGGCTATGGTTCTGTCAAAGTCTGCTTTAGTAGCCCCCATGTTAACAGCCACAGCAAAACCCTGAAGCATCTCATCACAGCCAAAACCCTGCATATGGAGGCCAACCACCTAAAAAAGAAGAGGCTCAGAAGTGACTTAATGAAAATGACTCACTGTAGCAGCAAAATACAACTAAATAATGATCCTTCTTGATATTTCATACTCATTTATGATTGATGGACTGATCACACCCTCACCTTTTCCTCTTTGCCAGCACACACCAACTTCATGATGCACTGACTCTTTCGAGTGGTGATGGCGTAATACATGGGGGTGAAAGAAGTGGTATAAGCTTTCACATTGTCCTTTCCCCAGGACTTGATTGCTTCGTCTAAAAAACATGAGATTATTAAATAATCCATTAAATAATATTAACAGATACAGCTTCTGATTTAAATACTGTATTATTAAAGTACCCCTATTAAGCTATTTTAAAGGTTTCTAATGTTGTTTTGGAGGTCTCCTATAATAGATTTACATGTATTAAAGGTAAAAAAAACACTTAATTTTTCTCATAATATACATTGAATATCACCTAATTTCTCAAGAAGTCTAAAAACAGTTTGTTCAAAGTCTCAGTCTCTCTAAACCCCACAGTTCCGAGAGCCTACTCTGCTCTGATTGGTCAGATGGCTGAGTCTGTTGTGATTGGTCTACCGCTCACAACGCATGTTGGAAAACGAAACCAAACTTTTCCAAGCCTCAGCTACAACTACAATGTTTGAAGGCATTTGATGTTGTTCGAGGGCAGCCAATGAAGAACCATAGGCTGGCATTATGCAAATTTGTTTGTTACGTAGGTATGTAACAGACGATAACTTTATTTTTCATGCACCTTGATCTTTAAAAATTTGCAGACCTTTTACATTCCCAATCAGCTATATTACAAACTGCATGAAATGTAATATCCCAAAAAGCATAATAGGGGCATTTTAAATGATGAAATTAACATAAACTAAGATTAATAAAAGCTTTAGAATTTCTTTTTATTGTTAGGGAATATTAACTAATGCAGTTACCTAATGTTAACGAAATTAAACCTTTCTGTAAAGTGTTATCAATAAAATATGAATATTAGATGAAAAACTTAAACTTGAAAGAAAAAAAGGGTAAGATTAGAAAATGACAAAAGCACAATAGAATTACTAAGTAATGAAAACATACATAAATGAAAAAATATATACAAACAAAAGATAATTCAAAATGCTAAGTTTTATAATTGTATCTAAATAACATTAAAACTACATGCAAAGTATGATGGAAATCTCAAGATACTATTATAAGGATTATTATACATCAGCTCACCTTCAGTTAGTCCTACTGTGCCGATTGGTGGGTGGCTGAACACAACAGTAGGGATATTATTATAATCGACTTTGGAGTCTGCTTTGCCCTCAAATAGTCGGTGAGCAAGCTTTCTGCCAGCAGCAATAGCAACTATCCACACAAACAAGAGAAACAACAGCTTATTAGTATGCACTGAATATACATTCCCAATGGATGCTAAAGAATTAGGGGATGCAATGTAACCCCACACATACAAAACCACAAAACACCCGGAAGATTTTAATACATGTAGGAGGAAATTCTATTTAAAGATGTGATCCTGAAACCATTACCAGGTGTAAGAAGAGCTCTCCCACAAACATCCCCAACTGCATAAACGCCTGGACGAGTGGTGTTCTGGAACTCATCCACCATGATGTGTCCCTTTTCATCAAGCTTCACACCCTGAAAAACAATACACCCTCTGTTATTCATATTTTATCAAGTTATACAGTGTGAAGATAACGCCTATAATACCATCTATCTATTGTGGCTAATAGGGTTTAAAGGAATCCTCTGGGTTCATTTGAACTTTATCGACAGCATCTCTGACATGTACAGCTTTGTATTTTTGTTTAAGCATATTTTTTTTTTCTGTTGAAAAGAGGTAATATTGTTACACATTAGTCATTTAATTCCTGTGAGCAGAACTTTTATCACACTAGTCTCATGTTAACATGTATTATGTTTACATTCAGAATGCAAACGAAGTATGAACCGACATTGTGCTATATATATATATATATATATATACACACACACACACACACACACACACACACACACTGTGGTGTAAATCCAAGTGAAATGGATAATTGAAAAAGAGAAAGAAAATGGAGTGGGATTTCTATCTACAGAAATCTAGGATTCGTCACCAGAGACCAGTCTGTTGTTTCACCAGAAGATTGAGTCATAACATTTTGATGAAGAATTACGAGGTAACAAAAGAAAAAAGAAAAAGAAATATGCATGAAGGAATCATTGATAACAATAAGATCAATGAAATGCATTTAGAAAATAGATAAGGTGAATTTCCATTTCATACCAACTTCAAGTGTTGTGGCTATACTTTCAAAATAATATATATTCTAAAAGTTTACCCGAGTGCAATGCCATTCCCCATAGGGTTCCATTGTAAGCTCTTTTGTGCTTTTAGTGCTTTGTAACTTTTTAATGCCATTTGTGGTATGGGGGGCGTGGTTTAGCGCTGTCTGCGGTGGGAGAGCGGGGGAGGAGTCGAGCGGGAAGTAAGCGGGTCAAGTTCAAATGATAAACACCTGTCTGTAATTCCAGTGATTGGCGTTGGGAGAGTATTTAAGCGGGCCAGTTGGACACCTCAGTGAGAGAGTCTGGAGCCCGTGTGCAGAGCTGGAGCTGGGACGATCGCTGTCCGTGTTGAGAGTGGAAAAAGGAATCTGTGAAGCAGCTTATGAGAAGAGTTTGTTTTGTCCGAATGTGAAGTGCGCTGAGGCACTGTGAAAAGAGTATTATTGATTGCATAATAAAGCACACGAGCTCCAGTATCGCCGACCCCTTGTCTTCTTCCATCACCTCTACCGAACCTTATCACACCATTATAAAGTGATTTTTTTCTTCTCCCAGAATAAAAAATCATGCCACAGAGTTTTCTCAGAAATGTATTATTATTATACTAATATTACTTTACCAATCAATAACATTTATACTTAAACTAAAAAAAATAGTAATAATATCACCCAAAATTGAAATAGATTTTTACTATTTGACTGAGGTTGAGGCCAGCAGTACTGGGTTCCCTGCCAATAGCCCAGAGCAGACAGTCCACCTCATGGATGGTGTCCAACTTGTCCTCTGCATCCTTGACATCAGGGTCTTTTGTCACAAGCGTAACAGTGAGGCCCTTGTCAGTCTTCTGCACTGACTTCACCTGTAAACAAAGTCAGAATATTATACAATATAATATATTGACATAAGATATAGTTTGGGGGAAAATCATAACTAAACAAACTGATACATCAGTCTGGAAAGCCAGCTACATATTATCTTACCTAATACTACTCAGTACTAGTTACCTGAGTATTTTTCCGTAAATCAATACCATGATTTTGCAATTCTTTTGTGCAATTTGAGCTTATCAAGGCATCGAAGTTCCTCAGCACCTTGAAACAAAAGAACGCAGCCATTGCTTACTTTGGAATTTAAATTACAGCAGCATTTATCCAGGTGACAATAAATAGGGCTCTTACCCCTCCTTGTCGGATGATGATGGACGTTTTGGACCCCAGAGTGGAAAGGATACCAGCCATCTCCACAGCAATATATCCAGCCCCAACTATGACACTACGTCTAGATGGATACAGTGATCGGTTATTTTACGATGAGCTAAGAAAACACAATAATACAAGTATGTATCAGTTATCACAGGTCTCACTTACTTAGGGCAAGATTCAAGTTCAAAGAATCCATCACTGGTAATGCCTAAACCAGCTCCTGCAATAACATTGAAATATACAAAATGTAGATTTCAAAAAAGCGACAAAAATAAGTTAAATCACTTTAAAGGATAGTTCACCCAAAAATAAAACTTTTGTCATCACTTACTCACCCTCACCAAGTTTTTCAAAACCTGTATGAATTTATTTCTTCTGCTGAATACAAAAGAGAAGATATTTTGAAGAATGTTGGCAATCAAACAGTTGACATTAACCATTGACTTCCATAGTCAGAAAACAATAAGATGGATGTCAACTGTCTGGTTATCAACTTTCTTTAAAACATCTTCATGCGCTCAACAGAAGAAAGAAACTCATACGTACATGTATGGAACAACATGAGGTTGAGCAAGTGACAAAAGACAACATTTAAATTTTTGGCTGAACTATCCCTTTAATGGCAAGTGTATTGGTATTGAGAAGTAAAGCAGAAGGAAGTATATTTTTCATAATGAACAAACATAAGCCCACCTGGTACATCATCCTCACTGACAGTGGACGGGTGACCGCCAGTGGAGATTAAGATATGGGTGGCTGTGTATTTCTTTCCATTGACTTCAACGGTAGGTTCAGGGTCATCTGTGAACCTTGCATAGCCATGAATGGACTCAATTTTGGCCTATGAACAACCACAAACAACATATCAGTCACATCAATACCAATTCTAAATGATTAAAGAGGCCATATCAAATATATATATAATTTTTCACCCTGTCTATGAAGCTTAAACTGTACTATTTTGCTGTCATGCCTTTAAAGGACAAGTTTGGACAAACACACTCCTAACCACTTGGTAAGTTTAACATCTTTGTAAACTAAAAGTTTACTGCTTTTTATCAACGATTGTTCCAGTGCACCTATGCAACCATTGTGGAGGGGTGCAACCACAGAAACCGAAAATTCTTGGGACAGCAGCATGTTCATCAGAAACTATCTTAAATCGGGGCTTTAAGTGTAAAACACCGAACTTGCCTTTACATTTCTATTTAAAGCTTTCATAGTACAAGCAAGAAAATTTAATTCTCCATGATATGAAAAGCATGTTAAATTTGGTTTAAAAAAAAAAAATCAGATTTTGTCTTTAATCCTCCACAAATCATTTAATTTGCTGACTGGAAAGTAACATAATGCAGCCTACCTTTTCAAGGTTGCTCAGGTAAATCTGATTCAGGCGACTAACGTAAGCATCCCTTTTGCGTTTAATGAGTCTGAAAATACACACACCCAAAAAAGTGACATTTATTCGTTTAAATATTAATTTATCTTTCATATCACTAGAAATCCTGATAGCTGAACTCTCTACAGCATAACACACCTCTAGTCAAACAAAATTCCTTCATCTCTATGAAGGTAGATTTGTGTCTTTATTATTCAATCAAAAAAAATGTTGCTTCAATCAAAAAAAATATTTTCAATTAAAAAAACCTTCACTTCAATGAAAAAAAAACTTTTCAATCAAAGAAAAAAAGTATTTGAATCCAAAAATATATTTGAGACTCAAAAAAATACATTTGAACACTGCTTTTCTTTGATTGAAAATGTTTTCTTTGATAGAAGTCCGGTTTTTTTTGTTTAAAGCAACCTTTTTAATTAAAGTAACATTGTTTTTTGATTGGACCATATAATGGGTAGGACATTTGTGTCTTTATCATTCAATCAAAAAAGAAGTTGCTTCAAACAAACAAACAACAGAATCAATACAAAAGTCACTTCAATGAAAAGATAAACCTTTTTTTAAATATAGAAAATCATTTTTGAATGCAAATAAAATATTTGAGACTCCAAAAATTGCATTTGAACACCTTTTGTTTTAATTGAAAATGTTCTCTTTGATTGAAGTAATCTTTTTTGTGTTTGGGCCATACATGGGTAGGACATTTGTGTCTTAATCATTCAATTCCAAAAAAGTTGTTTCAATCAAAAAAAAAAATATTTTCAATCAAAGAAAAAACTTTTCAAAAGCAAAAAAAAATTTATTTACCTCGTGTATAAAAAAAGTATTGAAGAGAATGTGTGTTTTCGTTGTTTTTGTTTTTTATTTGAAGTGAAAAAAATTTAGAATTTCAAATTGTTTTGATTGAATCCTTTTTTTTTTTTTGAAGTGCAAAAAGTTTTGAAGTTCAAACTTTTTTTTGATTGAATCATTTTGACACAAACGTTCCGCAGTGGGCGGGTGCTTCTCTGTTGGTCAGACATGTTTGATTGACAAGTGTCTACACCAACGACATCTTTCTGACAAAAAAGTCATGTTCGCCACTCGCCAGCAAGTTTTACCCCTACAGGATATTATCTATTTATCATTTGATCTTGTGGCTCTAAGCATCGCGCCAGCCACACCAGCCACACGATCTCTCACTGTTTACTATCAGAAACTCCGATTAATACACGAGAGCACACAGACAGTGTTATCCTGCTCTTGTGTACGGGCGTCAGTTTGGTTTGGTTTGAAATGTGCTGGGGGACGGAGAGACGTATTCGGAAGAGCATTTTCAAAAGTGCTGGGTACAATGACGCATTCATTATTTTTTTTCTCTTTCGAGTAGGCGCCGCGAGATGTTTCAAAAGTGGTGGGTACAAAATCGACCCTGGCAAAAAGTGGTGGGGACATGCATACATATCTATGGGGACATGTCCCACCCGTCCCCCCAGCCACAAGATCTCTCACTGTTCTCATAGCCGACACTCCGATTGATGCACGAAAACACAGAGACAACGCAACCCTGCACTTATTTACCCTTTTGTCATCTTATCTTATATTTTATTAGCTCGTTTGTCCCATAATGGAGCACGTTTCGTGGTGCGCCAGTCACAAGATTTCGCAATATTTCTCATAGTTGCGTGATTCTCCGATTGACATTCTGAAGAAGAATGATTTTGACCACTCCATTAAGTTTTTTTTTTTAATAAAGCCTTTCTTTAAAGTGAATTTCGTTTTTAATAAATTGCATCTTGATTTTAATCAATGTTTGATCAACCAATTCCCAGGATTTAATAAATAAGAAGCAAAGCAAACATATAGGCATAGCAATAAAATCATGAACTTTTTGCTTTGCACGTTTCTCAAAGACATGATAAATAGGCTACATCTAGAAAGGTAGAAATGTCTAGCCTAATTTTAAACAAAACAATTCAAAACGAAAATAAATATTATTCTACTCTCAGATTATATTTAATCCATATGAAATGAGCATTTCTCTCGGCGCGTTCACTACTGCGAAGATGGCTCCAATACGGGCAAAAAGAGCAAATAAAATATAAGAAAAAATTACAAAAAGGTAGATAAGAGATGGATTGGACTTTATTTGCTCTCATCTGAGTGTCTCATGTAAACAGTGAGAGATCTTGTGGCAGGCGCGACGCTAGGTGACGCGCACGCTCCATTATGGACAAAAAGAGCAAATAAAATATAAAATAAGATGACAAAAAAGATACTTAAGAGCAGGATTGCACTGTCTGTTTTCACATGTGCATCAATCGGAGTGTCTGATGGGTGTAATAAGAGATCTTGTGGCTGGTATGGCTGGCGATGCTTAGAGCCACGACCCGTTCGCATAAAAAGAGCGATTAAAATATAAGATCAGACGATAAATGGGTAAATGAGATCTGTATTGCACTATGTGTGCTTTCGTGTAGCTACCATTAGGTGTAAATAGAGAGAGATCGTGTGGCTGGTGTGGCCGGCGCAACGCTTAATAGAGCCATGCGAGCGCACTCCCATACGCATAAAAAGAGCAAATAAAATATAATATAAGATGACAAAAAAGTAAATAAGAGATGGATTGCACGTTATTATACGCGCTCCAATACGGGCAAAAAGAACGAATAAAATATATGATCAGATGATAAATGTGTAAATAAGATCTGTATTGTACTGTATGTGTGCTCTCGTGTAGGCCTACCATTAGGAGTGTCTTATAGGTGTAAACAGTGAGAAATCTTGTGGCTAGGCAGGTGAAAAGCGTTTGGTTAATGGTGAATATTGACCTATTGTGCGTACCGTTCTGTCGGGGAATATGCGCTGCATTTACTGTAAATATTGTGTAAGTTCGAGTGGCAGGCGCTATATAATGCAGTGCATATAAGGCACATATATCCGTGGCCGGTCGAGTAGCAGATCCCCCTGCCAGGCAAAGATTTTATCCCCTCTAAAAAAGCTGCTGGCGAGTGGCGAACATGACTTTTTTGTCAGAAAGATGTCGTTGGTGTAGACACTTGTCAATCAAACATGTCTGACCAACAGAGAAGCACCCGCCCACTGCGGAACGTTTGTGTCAAAATGATTCAATCAAAAAAAAGTTTGAACTTCAAAACTTTTTGCACTTCAAAAAAAAAAAAGGATTCAATCAAAACAATTTGAAATTCTATTTTTTTTTCACTTCAAATAAAAAACAAAAACAACGAAAACACACATTCTCTTCAATACTTTTTTTATACACGAGGTAAATAAATTTTTTTTTGCTTTTGAAAAGTTTTTTCTTTGATTGAAAATATTTTTTTTTTGATTGAAACAACTTTTTTGGAATTGAATGATTAAGACACAAATGTCCTACCCATGTATGGCCCAAACACAAAAAAGATTACTTCAATCAAAGAGTACATTTTCAATTAAAACAAAAGGTGTTCAAATGCAATTTTTGGAGTCTCAAATATTTTATTTGCATTCAAAAATGATTTTCTATATTTGAAAATGTTTATCTTTTCATTGAAGTGACTTTTGTATTGATTCTGTTGTTTGTTTGTTTGAAGCAACTTCTTTTTTGATTGAATGATAAAGACACAAATGTCCTACCCATTATATGGTCCAATCAAAAAACAATGTTACTTTAATTAAAAAGGTTGCTTTAAACAAAAAAAACCGGACTTCTATCAAAGAAAACATTTTCAATCAAAGAAAAGCAGTGTTCAAATGTATTTTTTTGAGTCTCAAATATATTTTTGGATTCAAATACTTTTTTTCTTTGATTGAAAAGTTTTTTTTTCATTGAAGTGAAGGTTTTTTTAATTGAAAATATTTTTTTTGATTGAAGCAACATTTTTTTTGATTGAATAATAAAGACACAAATCTACCTTCATACATCTCTTTTGTCAGACAAGATTACCCAAATCTGTACTGACTTTACCACAAAAGGGAAGCAAAACAAAAACTGAAAGCTGTAACGAATCAGAGTAAGCAGGAACTTGGCTATCCTCAACCATCGCAAGAGTAAAAGATCCTTTTTGTGACAAGAATAAGCTTACTTCTGTTCTTACAGAAAGAATATCCTCCAGTCCATTCGAAAAAGTCATCATTACATAGCCTATACCTTAAAACTAGTGTCTTTAATTACAGATGTTACTAGTAATTCTTTTTTTAATTTCTATTAACTAGTAAGAGTGTAACTTTTTAAAATTACGCTAAACAAATATAGCTAGATTAAGTACCACCAACAGTTTAAATACATACTAGTTCATAGAAATGAACAGCAATTTTTGTTACCAGAAACAATATTACTTAGTAGTTACTTAACTTTTGTGATTGTGACAACAAAAGAATAACTACTATTATGTTATGAGCAGGGTTCAAAATTAACATGGCAACCCTTCAAATGAACCACGGCAGGTAAACTCACCAGCCAATTTGGCAGGTTATGACATAAATTATGTCCTCCAACTAGGAGTCTTCCGTTATTAGCAAAACAATGAAAAAAGAGGGTCGCACACTGGAATGCCATATCAAATAGTAAATGCATAGTTTTATATGAGTGCATGCACACAGGCGGCACTACTTAACATCTGTCAGCAACACCTAACTATGACAGTGGAGGATGTACAAAATCCTGCCACGACAATCAAATGATTACAATTTCGATACCACAGCAAAAACAGCCTAACAGTTAGAGTCTTCAGTTATAAAATAAGAACAAATAAATAAATTACAAGCAATAGCTAAAAAAATAAAATAAATAAATACAACATAAAGATACAAATTAATTTTGTTAGATTAATATTAATGACCCAGAAAATACAATTGAACACAAAAATAATATATATATATTATATTATATATAAAAACGCTATTATATATTGTTTTGTTTTAAGAATGGGTTGCCATAATACTATATACTCAACATTCTATAAAAAAATAAAAACAACCCAGAAGAAAACCCCAAGAAAGTATCTAACTTACTGCCAGCTGAAATGTGCTTTTGCTCCCTCAAATCCATAGTCTTCATGATCATGGAGATACTCTGCATGAGTGGATGTATTCCACATAACCTGGAAGCAAGCAAAAGGACACAATTTAGTTCTGCTTGCATCAGGCAATCAATTAAGTGTAATGATACGAGTCAAAATATATACCTTTTTAGGAACACAACCAACATTCACCTGCAGCAGAAGAAAAGTCAATAATATCAGCAGACAAAAAAATGCATAGGTGCTGGACCTAAACCATCACACAAAAAAGAGCAGGATCTGGATTCTTCCCAAACACCTCTCTGTTCATGTGACGAACCCAGCGACCAATTACTGAAAATAACTCTAAAGAACACATCTATATGACACTAGGGGAAATGTGGTGTTGCAGGAGCAGGAAGGTCTGTACTCACGCAGGTACCTCCGAGTTTGTGACTTTCGATGACGGCTGCGGTGGCACCGAGTTCAGCCGCCCGCCGCGCACCGGCCAGCCCTCCGGACCCTCCGCCAATCACCAGAAAATCAAAGCGCGTGACGGATTCAGAGGCCATGCTGCGACTGATGAGTCTACGAGAAGACAACAGCGATCGTCCAAGAGTAAGAAAAGACGCTCGTAATCGAGCCAACGGGCTTAATATCTCCATAAGCAGGAAGCCAACACCCCGAATGTAGTAGTTGAACTAATGGGAGGGACGTAGAAGCCAATGCTTAGTCATTGTGAATCGACACAATAGTGTGTAAATCCCAGAAGCAAGTCTGGACAATAGTCATAGTTAACGTTACTGCTTATTAACGTTACTGTCCTTCACTGTCAATACCGTGTGCTCAATTTACTTTCAACTCACTTTTAAATACGACAGATTTATTTATCTGGTTTATTTGAGAAGGGGAAATATTTCGTATTTAATCAAAATGACATGAGAATTCACCCCACTAAACAAACTCACCGATGAAGTGCAGCCGTTACACATGTAGTTGTAGTAGCGGAAACCCGTTTGGAGTATATTGTAAACATTATATGTAACAAAGTGTCGTTGCTTAGATGTGCTGAGTTATAAACTCTTTAGTTGCCTTTGCTGACCATTTTCGTATTTATATAGTTTTAACGGAATGCGTCGATGTAAACTGTGAAGTCAGAATGACGCCGAGATAAACTGAGCATGCGCGTTTCAAAAGGCAGGTCCAGTGTACAGAAGCGCATGACAACAACGGCGCTATAGATTATTACGTTATTACACTGGAATGAAGGCAATTGGAAATTAATATCGTTTGCGGTCATATCGCTCAAAAGTTTGGAATCACTATACTTTTATTTTCGAATACTTTTATTTAGCAAAGACGCATTCAAGTATCTAAAGCACAGAAAGCCAAGGTGACAATGAGTTACACAGCACGTTAAAATATTCTTGATTGAAAGAATCCCTTAAAAAATTAAGAAAAATTATAAGAAATGTTTCTTGAGCACCAAATCAACATATAAGAATGATTTATGAATGATCATGAGACACCGAATTCAGCTCTGCATCACCTTTATATATTATATTCAAATAGAAACGTTATTTGTAATAATACTTAATATTATTTTTTTTTTGTACTGTATTTTTAACCAAATAAATGCAGTCTTGGTGAGCAAGTGACTTTTCAAAAATCTTCCCATCCCCAAACTGTTGAATGGTAGCAAAGGGACTTGACAGTAGTACAGCACATTAAGGAAAACAGTACATTTGTCAGATTTCTGCACTGACTATTCACATTGAAAAAGTATTGTCCACCCCAGTTATTTTAATTGGTTAAATTTAAGAAGTCTTTACATGGCAGACAACATAATAGAAAATTAAAATTTAATTTTAATCTATAAAAAATCATCAGTATCCAAAAAGTAAAAATAAATCTCTATAGAATGCATCAAAACTCATTTGGGCCTTCACATTAAAAAAAGTGCCTTGGTATCAAAATATTGATACTTGTTATTTAAATATTTCTGATGACCGTTGCAAATGAGAGGATAATCAAGTAATGCATCACATCAGGATAGTTTATTAAACAAGCTACTAATTTGAATCGTGTTGATTAAGTGGCAGCAAGTCAGAAATCCATTTTTCACATAAATATTTTCTTTATTGATGAATTTTTCAGAAGCAAGAAGTTACACAAGGACACATCTTCAGCGGGGCGATTTCACTGGTCATTCTCAAAGTCTGCGGGGTTCTTTCTTTTGCCCTGTTCATGAACACGATTGCCCCATGTGTAGGTCAGGTACATGAGAACCATGGCTGTAAATAGAGATGCAGGTTTGTAGAGAAGTTTAGTCCCACACAATGTTTGCTTTAATCTATAGTTTAAACTATTTTATATTTATACAAGTACCTTGCAGAATTCTTAGGCATGTTAGTATTTTCACCCAGAAAAATGAAAAATAAGCCAGTTATTAAGGGAGGGAATCTCTAGGCACCTCACCATTCAATTCAGTGGGCTGCGATTCGTTGCGATTATCTCAATACTTTGTGTGTGTGTGTGTGTGTGTGACTATGCTGTGCTTTAAAAGTACAAAGTCATGACCCATAAAGAATTAATGTACAACAATTTTATTCACACTCCAAAACACTAACAGGAAAATAAATGTGTGCCTGAACTAGCAGCATACTTGTAGTAAATTAATAATATAACAATGACCGGTAAGTTACAGCCGAGTGTTTTTCCTCCTCTGGGTGGAAACGTGTCATATGGCTTCTCATATTTGTTGTGTTTCTGAAATATTTTAGTTTTATTCTACAAAGCTTACAACTAGTGTGGTTTTAAATGCAAGTGGTGGTACCAAATATTGATTTAGTTCATAGAAGTTGATTGATCAATAAAATCTATTTATGACATTATTTTGTGAAAGCATCTTCACTTGACAACATTTCTACACAAGTGTCTAAAACTTTTCACAGTAATGCAGCTTTGCAGGAATGTTTCTTCAAGCATCTTGGAGACATTGCCACAGCTTTTCAGGATTTATTCTCCATCAGTTTTTTCTGTTTCTTTGTGTAATCGCAGACTGGCAAAATGATGCTGAGATCAGGGGCTGCATTCACAAAACATTTTAAGGCTAAAAGTAGCTCCTAAATCCGTGAAACGTTATAAGTAGTCAAGAGAAGAAGTCACTAAATCCGAATGACAAAGAATTCTAATGTCTGTAGCTGTCAATCAAAGACACTGTACACCACTGAGGCAATGGCAATAGAGTCTTGGGCGCTGAACCTTTTCTTCATAAATGCAATACATATTTTGATTTATAGATTTCATCTACGATAAATCACCAAAAATACATCTTTTACAAATGAATAAAGTCCAATTACCTGTGGCAGCCATTTTCATAATTTCACACTTACAAATGATCAAATTGAGTAAATGAGTAAAATAAGCATAAGATCTCTGTGGATCATACCAGCTGTTATCAGATTATGTGCATACAGAAATCACACTGGACTATTACAATTAATGGCAAAAGGAATGTTTGGAAAAGTGAACTGATATTTCCTACAGCAAGATCTAGGAATAACTGGCTTAAAAGTTATTGGGTGAAAATACTAACCAATATACTAAAATGACTTACGTGGTGCAACCTTGAATACAGATGATTTGAATCGCCTCCACACATTTGGGATTCCCTTGGAAAAGTAGTTTGGGAAAGCCCTCTGCTCAAAGGGGGAAATACTGTAAGTGATCACATGCCTTATCTTGGCCAAATCTCCGAAGTGACGACCCATTGCGCCAAGAAAACTAATCTAAGGGAAATAAAAAAAATCAAGGTTCAATTTAGTATATTTAAAATAAAATAAGCATACAGTGTCTACTGTCTACACAAGAACAAGATTTATCTGTCAATAATTGACTCAATTTGAATACATTTAAATTGTTGTATATAAAATTGAGTAAAAATAAATTACATTTACATAAATTACATTTTGAAAATAGATTACAAAAGAATACGGTTATTTAAATTAACTGATGGGATGATGTTTTAAGTACTTTAAAATGTTATACATGCATCTTAAATCTAATATTGCTAATTCAATTAATTAATTATAAAAAGTATCTCTTGTAATATTGTTTCTATTCAATAAGCTAAATTGAAAGTCAAGACAGCTGTATTTGTACAAAATCAGCCTTAAAATATAAAACTGACTGGGGTGGAATTTGATATTGTACGAAATTACGTTATTAAAGTCAGCATAATTTACTCATTGAGTAATGGATTGATGAATTACACTGATAAACAAAACTGAAGTGTAACTTGTAACGTACATCATGTGGCAAAGCTGACAGACAAGAATGAATAGAGTTACTTAAAATCATATAAATTAAATGGTTACTTTATTACCATTAATTGACGGGTGACGCACTGCAGATAAAAGTAACTGAACCTTTAGTCACATTTATAGTCGTTACGTGGCTAGGCTAGCAACTTTCTGTAAGACCTTGCTTGACATTCAACTCAATCGCACGGTCTCTGTTTACACACACATTTCTACACCCAAACATACATTACATCGCTTAATTAAGATAATGTCGTTATGTATGAACTCACTATAGTCAAAATACAAGGCAAGAAACTATTTTTCGGCACACCAACCTTACTGTTCCTTAACAGCCTTGTCCTGCTATGGATTCTACAACTTCCGCTTGCAACCGTAAGTCATATCCGTTTCCTCTTGATTTCACGATTTCTTATTGGTGCTCCTCTACTGGTTCCTGGCTATCGAGACACGTGAAGGTCAGCGTAGTGCTGGGACATTGTATATACAGTGGTCAGATATCACCGTTAAGTTATTTTGTGTAGCGTTTGGCATTCTTTTCCCCAATGGATAATCAAGGAGCAACGGCAGACCCTCAGCTGCAGCAGTTTATCGAGATCGAGTCTCAAAAGCAGAGGTTTCAGCAGCTAGTTCATCAGATGACAGAAGTGTGCTGGGTGAGTGTGATGCATCCCCTTTATGAGGCTGTTCTTATACAGAGAGACTTACTGCACAGTTATATCATGCCCTAGCATGTATGATCTGTGGATTTGGAAGATGTTTCAGTAGTTCAAGCACTTCATTTAAGGTGCTGCCCTCTTTAGTCGCGGAGCTTGTGACCCTTTGGGCTCTTCTTGATTCCCATCCCAGCTCAACGAAGTTGTATTCATTTGAGCAAATATACAATAAACAATAAAACTGTATCGAAAAATGGTTATTATTTAAATTAACCGGTTTTTATATTTAAAAATGCTAATTTATTCATGTGATGTCAACGCTGAGATTTTCCCCTGTCACATGATCCTAAAGAATTAATTCTAACATTATATATATATATATGCTCAGAATTAATGGGATTAAATAATCAAATCAATTTGATTTTTTTTTATTAATTTATTTAATAAAATAATTTAGTTCAGTTAGAGAACAGGCACTATTAAACTGAACATGTCTGCTTAATAAATCGTGAGCCATTTAAGTGTCGCCGCACAGATCAGCAACAGAAGCTGACTGACAAGGTGACTGTGGAATATTTAAGAGAATTTATCATTGCAAAATTTTGTTGCAGGGCTCCAGACTTAACTTTTTTCACCTCCGTCCTGAAACCGTCCTGAAAAACTATTTGAACCATCCTAAAGTGAATGTCAACCGTCCCAAAATTAAAAAAAACATGTTTTTTCAAAGTCACATAATGAAAACAACATTAAAGTGTTTATGATATATATTATTATATTTATTTAGCTTCATTCAAAGTAGTTATCTGTAAATAGATAAAACCCAGATTTAATAAAAATGAATCTATAATCATTGTTAATATATATATATAGTAATATATATATTCAAGTAATCCACCCCGAATTGGCGCTAATTTAAAAACAAATCTAAAATGTGCACGGCCACACGTGTCAACGGGAGCGGACCGAACTGAGCGAGCGTTTTCAGTTTGTGTCATCAGTTGTGTTTTTTATTTTTATTTTTTTGGAGCTCATAGTGTGTTTGTCTTTGCAGGAGAAGTGTATGGATAAGCCTGGTCCAAAGCTCGACTCCAGGACAGAGGTGTGTTTTGTAAACTGCGTGGAACGATTCATCGATACAAGTCAATTCATCCTCAACAGACTAGAGCAAACTCAGAGGAGTAGAGGAACATTCTCAGAGACCATGACAGACTAGTGGAACTACAGCCACTTATTGACGATTTGTCATGCCAACAAAAACTGTGAGGCAACCGCTATACAGGATTCAGTTAATTTATCAAAGACAAAAGTGCCTCTTTTTGCTTTATTATTTTGAAGGCCATGTATTCGAAATCAAATGGATGCATGTATAGTCCCATAGAAAGTCCAACTTATTACCATCGATATAATTGACATTTCCCAGTTCTAAGATTTTGAAAACGAAAGTATGAAAACTTTCTGGATGAAAAAGTATGAAAAATCTGGAATTGAGGAGGCGGCTCTGCATTTCACTTTCGTCAAAGTACATTACCAAGCATACAATGCATCGTCTTACTGGGATTGTTTCAAGATCTGTGGCTTATAGAATGTCTGTTGAAATGTGAACTTGAAATAAAAAGACAATATACTCTGCAGTTATTCATATGACGTGTAAAAATGTCACCGGAGAAAGCAGAGTTCAATTTAGAAAATGTTCAAACTCCTTAAATAAATATTAATGAGACTTCTTAGAGGTTTCGGTGTGCTCTTTATTAAAATAGCTTAACAGGAACTATGTACACAGAATATATATATATATAGAAAACAATGCATCACCTCTTAAGTTCAGTTGTTGCTTAAAAAACATTTTTTCAAATATTCGGATATGTTCCCGAAAACCAGTATAGGACATGACTTTTTTTTTTTTTTGTAAATGAGTAAAAAGAAATTATTACTTTGATCAGCAAGGATGTATTAAATTGATCAAATGTGACAGTAGAGACATTTGTAATGTTAAAGAAAATGCACTATAAATTTTAACTTTCTATGCTGAACTATGCTTTAAAATATATTAAAACAAAAAACAGTGCTTTTTTTGTAAGAACATTTCACAGTATTACTGTTTGATGTATTTTGATCATATAAATGCAGCCTTGGTGAGCATAAAATACTACAGAACAATCAAAAATATTTTATTGAACCCAAATTTTGAATGATAGTTCATAAGAAGTCAAGCACATTGGATAATATTGTGTATTTGTGGCACAGCAGATGAGACCTTAAATATTAAGCTGATCAATTCAAAGTGCTTGATATGAATGTAATCATATGCATATCCAAAACAATGCTGGTTTAGTCATAGAATAAATAATGTAACATTTAATAAGATTGTACAGCAGAATTGTAAACATGCTGCTACTTCAAGATTTTGCATTAAAAACAAGAGACTAGGCACATCATCGTTACTCTGAAAATAACAGTGTGAAACTAAAAAGAAATATTATAGTTGGAAAATATGCAAGTAGTATCTTGTATACTAAAACGCACGCACACAAAATGTAAATGAAGTACTCTCACAGTATGTATGGTTTGCAAAGTTTGCTTGTACAGTAGCATGTTAGTAGTAAATCAGTATTTTTGCTAATATTATTCTATAAAAGAACTGTACCATTGCTCCTCTTGTCTAAACTCTCTGGAAATAAGCCCTTTGCGCTTCTTTCCTTAGTCAGATTTCTTTCATTCACAGTAATCGTCGCGTCATTTGGCAAAGGCATGTACGGTTGGCTCCACGTGTTGCCTTGTGGTCCACGGTGCAGATATGAAGGTAGAGAATCCAGGTTAAAGTTAATGTCCTTGAACGCATGGAGAAGAAAAATGCCAATAATGATGGTAAGAAAGCCACTAACAGTCCCAGCAGCCCCATCGGTGGACATTCGAAGCCACTCCTTAAACAAGATGGCCGAACAAGCCATGACGGATACAGTAAAGAAGACGTAATAAATAGGTGTAACTATAGAGGTGTTGAAAATGTCGAGGGCTTTATTAAGGTAGCTTATCTGAATACTGATGCAGATCACAAGACAAATGAGCAGAGCCCAAAACAGTGGCTCTTTCAGAACAGCTGTACCAGCGAACAGCTCTTTGATCCCAATGCCAAGGCCCTTCACACAGGACACGGATAATGAACCAATCACAGAGCAGATGAGGATGTACACCAGCACATTTTTCTGACCGTAGCGAGGTGCGACAAACACGACCAGGGCCAGGCTACTCACGACAATGCAGACAGCGAAAGCGATGAATCCTGTGATACATGCAAGAAAGATGACTGTTATAAAAACAGCACAGAGCTCACAGGGGGCCATGGTGTACATTTAAATTAGGGTCTCTTTGGTATCCAAAGTGTATTTGTAAATTAACCTGGATCTTTGAGTTTCTCTGCCATCGCTGTCAAAGAAGCTACCTCTTCCTCTTGTGGAGCATGGAGCACCATTACTGTGGAACCGAAGATGCAAAGCAAACAGCCAATTTTCCCATGGATATTCAGCCGCTCACTCAGGAAGTATGATGAGAGCACAGCACTGATGAAAAAGGTTGTACGTTTAGTAAAAATATATTTTAGACAAAGAAATAATGTTCCTTTGAGACTGTACACACCTGTACAACCCCAAAAGTGTGGGGCCAATATGAGTTTTTTTTTTACGAAATTAATTGAAAAATAAATGCATTCTGCAAGGATGCATTAAATTAATTTAGTACTAATAAAGACTTTTATATCATTACAAAACAAATGCTATTTCAAATAAACAGTGTTGTTTTGAACTTTCTATTCATAGAAGAATCTTAATAATCAAAAATAATAAATCAGAAAATAAATATACATATAGTAAGCAATATTTCCTATGCACCAATTCAACATATTAGAATGCGTTTGAACAGATCATGTGATACCGTAGACTGGAGTAATAATTACTGAAAATCTTTTGAACCATAGTTTATCTCTATCTGTGACCGGAATTAAAGCTATATTTTGTTACGTTATTAAAGTACATAAGGTGGTGTACTGTACAATACTAGGTAAATTTACCTGACCAAAACGCTCAATGCTCCCAGGGGTGTTACTAATGTAGCAGGTGCAAATGCGTAAGCGGCAAAATTTGCTGCCTCACCTATTCCCACTAAAAATAAAATACAAGACAAAAGATTGTGATTAGGGAGGGTGTGCATAATGACATATTCATGTGTACTGTGTAGATAGCAATCTCTCATTACTAAGATCCATAAATCCACATACACTCATAATATTTGCATGCACATCTATATTCTGGTTATAATTCAGGTTTACTTATGACAAATAAATAGATAAAATGATAATGCCATACTTAATATAAGCCCTGCCCACCACAGCCATTCTTTCAGGTATGCATATCCACCTTGACCTGCATAGTGGAGAGAGCAGATCTGATTAGACAGCACAAGAAAAAAGAAATAATAATTATGAATCTAAATACTGTATGTATAATGATGTAGTGCAATGGTACCTGCTCTAGTAGAGCCTGTTTTTGCCAGTCGTAAGAGCCCTTTCTTTTTCAATATAAAACTGCCACCGATGAAGATAGTGGAACTTACAGCAAGCGCCAAACCAATGTAGAAGTCAGTGCGGTTTGCAGCATCCATCTGAACGCGGTTATAATAGAAGGACTAGATATTACATTTGGCTATTAGATATTTTAGTTACATCGGCGGGTCTGTCTAAAACAAACCTAACGTTAGTGAGCTGCCTACCTACTAGACAGCATTTTGGGGCATAGTAACCAGTAACACAGCTTTCTGTCTACTCAACACACTAGTTAAAACAGCCACAGAGGAAGTAAATCATGTGACTCATGTGACTCCTGCTTTTCACTTAGCCAGTACCAGAACCCGTCTAACTACAAAGCAATAAAACATGAGATGTCGTTGTAGACTATTTGTTCATCTGCTCTAAACATGTATAATGACAGGAAATGTATGATCACAGCATTTTTAAAGAGCGAAAGCAACTTTTTAGAATGATGTAGGTCGATTTTGGTTAGCGCAGTAAGCTTTACTGTATTTTACACTAGCTAGGAGGCATTGTTGTTTCATGTTACGGTTTAAGACTACATTTAAAAGACTATTGAAATATAAATAATTTTTAAATGGACTAACCTTGCATTTGTATCGTCCATCTGTGGCAGTTACGTCTCGTGTAAATAAACTTCCTGGTAAAGAAGTGACTGTAACCCTGGTTGCCAGATATTGTTATTAACATCCCTTCCTTTTTGTCAAACTTTGACAGACCCCTGCCCTGTCTGTCTGGACATCTTGGGGAATTTAACTTTTCTTTAAACGAAACCCTTCTGAGACAGATGATGGGTTTATACATACAAACTGAATTTGGTGAACTTTAGTCAAATGTCTGCTTTTGAAACTCCTCAAGTGTGTAAACATTAATTTTTGTTTCATTTTGATAATTTTTCCACAGTTTAAAATCAGCAGTTCCCTTACGAGAGGTTCTCTCGTATTGCCTAATCTAGCTTACGCTACGGGAAAGATTCGTCTTTTCTGAGAAGTTAAAGCCAAACAATTATCCTAATTTTTGTATCCTTGTCAACGCAGTTCACCAGCTGCAGACCATGAGCGGGCTAACTAGCAGCTCATTGGTTCGCTCTAAGAGAACTGCTACAGCCTATCAGAGGACTCGGCTGAACTCGCGGCCAATGAGAGGCTGACATGCTCTCATTGCGTCAAAGCCCGCCAAAACGGGCGTGAGTCGAGTGTATAAAAACCCGAGTCTCCCTCTGTTTCATTGATACAATTTCATCTATTCGACGAGGCTAAACTGGATCTCATCTCAGAGAAGAAGCTGCGGCGTCGTCGTGAAGGCATCTCTAATGCCTAGTTCACACTACATGATTTTAAAATGTCGGGCTGAACTGTGCAGTTTACACTACATGACTTGCTCTCAGTGAAATCATGAGTGTTCAAGTTGTTTAGCTGTTCACACCACACAACACAACGTGATTGATCCACAACAGGAGGTAACTCACTACACGAGTTAACAACGCACTACATAGAGATACAACCACGATCGGATGATAAGAGCATATCATTTGTGACTGAATGAGAGCTGTTTCAGTACTATAGTACGGTCTAAATCCTGAAAATAATCAAACAAATAACGAGTTGACAACAACACGATTCTGTCTGGTCTAGAAACCATGTTTTGTAACGAAAAACCACGCAATAAAACGAACCAGAAATGACGCGAAACTGCAGAGAAGAACACAACACGCGAATATGGACGTCAGACAGAAACTAGTGCTGCACACTGTTTGCTCGACGATCTGCTCTGAGAAAAAAAAAATGCAAAAAAGAAAAAGTAATTTACCTGGTGTCCTCAACCCATGCGTTGCTATGATTGGCTGTACTCGTGACATCACTGAGATTGAGTCGCGCGACTGCGCGAGATATCTAGCATGCTAGATATTTTTCTGAGCTCGGTGACCTGTCTGCGAGGTGTCTGCGAGCTGTCTTTGATGCGTTGTTGGCTCTTTCACACTAACGGATTGGCGAGCGTTAATCGTCCGCTAATCGCCCGCGATTTGCACGCGATAACACCCTGACTTGTCGGCGACTCAACGATTTGCAAATCGGGCTTAAATCGGGCTTAAAATCACGTAGTGTGAACTAGGCTTAAGCAAGCGTGTACAGAGTCTGAGGAAGCCGGCCGTCTTCGCCACCTTCTTCAGTCATCCCGCGAGCCAACGCCATCCGGCGACCTATCCTTCACATTTATATCTTGCTTGTGAAACTTCACAAAAAAGCAGCGAGCGTCTTTTTAGAGATGCCCCGTACACCTGCGGCTCATGACCGCCTTCTTCTACGCTCTCTGCCCGGTGTTCTGTCGATCTGTCCTACCTTGTCAGATTTTCCTACCGTAGCGCAAAATTATAGCCATATCTATCGGTTCATCCTACCTCGTCGTAAAATCCTACTGAGCGTTTCTGCTTCGCGTCTGTGACTAAGTAGGCCTACATAAAATATTTCAGTGTAACTTTGCCGAATTTTCTTATTAGGCCATGTTACGGTGATTTTACAGTGCAAAGTAACGTTACCTCTTCAGATTGTCCTATGAAATAAACGGTAGGATGATTTTACGTTGCAAAATACCTCATCAGATTGTGCTACCAGTATAAAATAAACAAGTTGTATGATTTTACAGTGCAAAATGCCTCATCAGATTGTCCTACAGTATGAAATAAACGAGTAGTATGATTTTACAGTGCAAAATGCCTCATCAGATTGTCCTACCAGTATAAAATAGACAAGTTGTATGATTTTACAGTGCAAAATGCCTCATCAGATTGTCCTACCAGTATGAAATAAATGAGTAGTAGGATTTTACAGTGCAAAATGCCTCATCAGATTGTCCTACCAGTATGATATACAAGTATAGGACGATTTTACAGTGCAAAATACCTTATCAAATTGTCCTACCAGTATGAAATAAACGAGTAGTATGATTTTACAGTGCAAAATGCCTCATCAGATAGTCCTACCAGTATGAAATAAACGAGTATGATTTTACAGTGCAAAATACCTCATCAGATTGTCCTACCAGTATGAAATAAACGAGTAGTATGATTTTACAGTGCAAAATACCTCATCAGATTGTCCTACTTGTATGAAATAAACGAGTAGTATGATTTTACAGGGCAAAATACCTCATCAAATTGTCCTACCTGTATGAAATAAACGAGTAGTATGATTTTACAGTGCAAAATGCCTCATCAGATTGTCCTACCAGTATGATATACAAGTATAGGACGATTTTACAGTGCAAAATACCTTATCAAATTGTCCTACCAGTATGAAATAAACGAGTAGTATGATTTTACGATGCAAAATGCCTCATCAGATTGCCCTACCAGTATGATATACAAGGGTAGGATGATTTTACAGTGCAAAATACCTAATCAAATTGTCCTACCTGTATGAAATAAATGGGTAGGATGATTTTACAGTGCAAAATACCTCATCAAATTGTCCTACCAGTATGAAATAAACAGGTAGGATGATTTTACGGTGCAAAATACCTCATCAGATTGTCCTGGAAAAATAAACAGACAGGATGATTTGAGAGTCTTAGTTTTTAATCTGTATAGTCCCTGGACAGATGTTACAAATTTACTCTAAACCAGATGATAATGTAAATTGAAATAAGATTGGTTATTGAGATCATTTATAATCAAGCAGATAGAATATATACATAAAGGAGATTTTTAATCAAATTCATTTCAAAATTCAAAATCATGCAACACAGAGGCACAATACAAAACAAGTAAAACAATAAGTTATTAATATAAATATGGACTAAGACTGTTAGCATTGCAAATGATAAAGGCACATACACTCAACTACACACTTTTTGCACTTATACACATTAAGGCTACTGAAGTTGCAACATTTAAAATGTGCCCATCTATTGCAGCTCTCACACTGTACCTGAAAATAAAAGAGATGAATATATATATATATATATATATATAAAAATTAGTACATTTAAAACAATATAGAATCTGAAAATATGAAAAGAAAAATTACCTTTTCATTTAAATAACAAAATTCTACAAAAAAAAACAAACAAACATGGCACATAAAGTTAAACTATTGTTTTTTGGGTGTGTGTATTGCTTATATTGATAATTTTCAATCATGCTTTCGTTGGGGTCGTCCTCCAGCATGCTGCAAAGCACACAGTACTCCTCTGCATTACCTATACATTTGTTAACATTAAAAAAAGATACATATGAATTCATTGGACAATCATATCATAGTGTACTAAATGTGGAAAAAAAAAAATCAAAAATAGATGAATAGTTAGTGGGGGATAGATTAATCAAAATTTGTATGTGATTAACGTTAACTGTAATTACAAACATTACACATTTATTATATTTTATAATGTAATAATTTGATAGTTGATCTCCAAATGAATGCAAAAACAATAGAGAGTATTTCTTTTAAATATTTGTTTAATGGCATGTTTTATGAAACCTGCCGCTGCTGAGAGAGACGCTGATCTCACACGCGTCTCACTCTTTACGATCATTTGATACTTTATTTAATTAAGACTGATCTTATGAGGACACTCGACAAAACGGACATTTTGACATAATCGTGTGTGTTTATATTTTACACCAAACAATCAAATCAATTCCCCGCCAATTCATCAATTTAATGTGAGAGTAAACAGTTCGCATTACTGCTATATATCTTTGTATAGTAATAATTGACATAAATAGTGAAAAACTTACCTCAAATGAAAAAGATCTCGCGCAAGTAGTAAAATATTATGGGCGTGTTGTTCAGCGTGACAAAAATGACGTATTATTGATGTGCGCATGCGCAGTAAGCCTTGGTAGGACAATCTGACGGCGGACTGGGACTGGAACACGCTGAGCTCTCTCTCTCTCGCCGACGACGGCTGTTATTTCTGCGGAAAGGCGTGCTCGACTCGAAGTGCTAAAGCCGCCGCTCACGAGCTGCATTGAGGTGCTACTGTCGTGCTGTATGGGGGACGAGTCACTGCTGTGCCAACCGCGGCTAGGTTTCTTTACGTGATAAGAGAGCTACTCCGCCCCCCGTGCATACTTTTCACCGGCAAATGGGTTATAATGTGTTCGTTTCGCCGAGTCCGGACCTGTTCGCTACTATCACGCCCTCTTATCTGCTCGCGCTAATTAACTTGTGTCTTTATCAGGCTAATGCAATCAGGCATATGCATAATGTCTGAGTTACGCCAGACATGCCATAAGTGTAGTATATTTGCCCACAGTTCAGTGTTCAGCCCTACACACAAGCACCACACTTCCCGTGTCTCTGTCAGAGCCCACTCCCTAAAAACGGGCACAGCCCGTTCAAGTGGTTGAGTTCATAAACCCTCTGTTACACGGCCCATAAACTCCGCTCTACTTGTAAGTCCCGTGCCCGCGACCACGCTCGCTCATCACACTGTGATTCACTTCTATCTGGGAGTCACTTACAAAACAGCCACTGGCTGTAAGCGCGCTCACATTTTGTTCAACCCGCTATACACAGACGTATGTATACACACGCCTCTTGTGTAGAATATGTGCCCACAATCAAGTGTTCGCCCATACACAAAAGCACCACACTCCCCGTGTCTCTGTCAGAGCCGACTCAGCCCGCTCGAGTGAGTTCATGAGCGCACCCACGAGCCCGTGCGCTCGTCCCCCCTCTGCCCGCTTTGTTACACGGCCCATAAACTCCAATCTGCATGTAAGTCCTGTAACCACAAGCACTGTAAGCGCGCTCACACACTGTTCAGCCCGCTATGTGCATCAATCAGGGCGATGTGGCCATCCACCCGCTAGCGTTACGCTTCAAAGCGTGGGAAGCTATTCCCGTGCTTCCCCGTGGGTGTTAAACACTATAAAGCTAGGCTATCTTCTACAGTTCCGTCGCTGCCCTCCCCGTTCCGTGCGCGGTTCAAAACTACTGTGAATGCCGAAACAGCCGGTCTGCTTCGTTCAGAGATAGCAAAACGATTGTGCAAAAGGGCCTGCTCAGAGCGAGTCGGGGTTTTACGGACGTTATTTTCTTGTCCCCAAGAAAGACGGCGGCCTCAGACCAATTTTAGATCTCAGATTTTTGAACAAAGCGCTCATGAAGCGTTCAATACGCTTACAGTCAAGAAACTCCTCGCGCATGTGTGTCAGAGGGACAGGTTCATTTCTCTATCTGAAAGACGCCTATTTTCAGATTCAGATAAATCACTGTCATAGGCCATTCTTACGTTCCGCCTTCGACGGCCAGGTTTATCAATACAGCGTCCTTCTGTTCGGCCTATCATTAGCACCCCGTACGTTCACGAAGTGCATTGATGCGGCCCTCGCCCCCCTGCGGAGTCAGGGGCTGCGAATTTTGAACTATCTGGACAACTGTCTGATTTTGTCACAATCACAGACGGAGCTTCTGTCTCATAGGACAGTTCTCCTCGATCAGTTGAACACTTTGGGCCTTTCTGTCAATTGGACAAAGAGCTCACTACAGCCCAGTCAGACGATTCCCTTCCTGTGAATAGATCTAGACTCAGTGGCTATGACGGCTCGATCGCTAGCCTTCACAGCGCGCGCGCCGTGTTCAGCGACTCGCCGCATCAGACGAACGCCCTCACGCCTCTGAAGACGGTTCAGAAGGCGCTGGGTTCTGGGTTAGGCTACATGGCCTCAGCCTCCTGCGCACGCTTCTGCTCTGGCCAAGAGCCGTGTGTCTCACCGAGCGTGGGCCACAGGCTACCAGCTGATCAAAGTAACATGAACAGTGGCAGAATGGTTTCAGTGGGGCGTTACTATGGGGACGTTTTCTGTCCAGGAACCTCTCCCCCGGGAGAATGGTCCCTGTACGCTCAAACAGTCCAGACGCTGTGGCGAATATTCAGCAGAGCTGAAATAGACCTCTCCACGTCAGAAGAGAACGCTCACTGCCCAATATTTTTCTCAAAGAGCGAGGACGCGATAGCCCAGGACTGGCCCCGCCGCCCGCTTTATGCATTCCCACCGGTCTCACTATTGCCGCAGGTAATACGAGGATATCAGGACACACGCCACTCGGTGCTCCTCATAGCCCCGCGATGGGAGAGTCAGACTTGGTTCCCGGTCCCGGAGCTCACTCAGCTGTCACAGACAGCCCCGTGGCCCATAATAAGATAAGATAATCTCTTTTACAATCTGGAAGTACCCGCCCTGCAGGATAAACTACTAACAGTCTTCAGCTCTACTGGTTGCTGCACTACAGACAAGATTTGCCGCTTGTCTACGGCCGATTATGTACTACTCAATCACCGGCACCGAGTCCTCTGATAGGCTGTAGCAGTTCTCTCAGAGCGAACCAATGAGCTGCTAGTTAGCCCGCTCATGGTCTGCAGCTGGTGAACTGCGTTGACAGAATGGATACACAAATTTGGTTATTTTTTTGGCTTCAACTTCTCAGAAAAGATTAATCTTTCCCGTAGCGTAAGCTAGTTTACGCAATACTCGTTCCCTCATCTAGAGAGAACCGAGGTTACGTTAGGTAACCGATTCGTTTGTATTTTAAGCAGCAATATAGATGATAAAAATAATAATAATAATAATAATACATTAACCGTAAGGTATCATTTACGGTATCTTTACTAAATTTACTACATACCATGAACTAACAATGAGTAATACATTTGTTACAGTATTTCTTAATATTTGTTCATGTTAGTTAATAAAAATAGGTAGTCATTCATTTTTTGTTATGTTCACATTAACTAATGGTAACAGACAACTTTTGATTTGAATAGTGTTAGTTATATTGAAATTAACTAATTATAAAATGCAGTAGTCAGAAGTTTTGTTCATTCTTAGTTCAGGTAAACTAATGAAACCTTATTGTAAGTGTAACTGTGGAAATTAATGTTGGAGGTTAGTTTGGACCAGGCATGGAGAAATAAGACCATTTTATACTTTAATGTAGAAAACTTTTCATTAAAATCATGTTTAAATGTAAAAGAATCTTCACTCTAAAGAAGACTGGAACCAGAGGAATACTGGAAACTGCTCTTGTTTTATTCAGTACACAGATAGATGAATAAGAGACAAAGTTTAGATTAAATATCCATCAGATTTCAACCACCGGAGATAATGTGATTTGAATAAAAAAAAAATATTTACACTACAAGCCTGGAGAGCTAGTTAGCTCTCTCTCTCTCTCTCTCTCTCTCTCTCTCTCTCTCTCTCTCTCTCTCTCTCTCTCTCTATATATATATATATATATAGCTATATTTTTGTATGTCAATACACAGCCACAGTCATTACAATACAGTCCTAAATTTGTATTGTTGTTTCTCTTGCTGTTATAAATAATTGCAATAATATTAAAGATAGCTTTTGAATAAAATATGAAACTGAGGGGAGGTTTAGGCTATAGACTAAATACAACATAGCTTGTAAGACTGCAATGTTAAATGAGAAATCACATTCCAATCTCCTTTTTTTTCTTGCAACAATTTAAACTAAAATAAAAAAAAAGATCAAAGCCATGTGTAATACAGCATTCACATTTTCAGGTTATTGAAAGAAATGAATTAAGGAGGTTATTCAAGTTGCATAATGATTCTTTCAATGGCACATGGTGGACTGTATCCTTAATGTTCAAGGGGGCACAGTAGTAATGTCGATTACATATTGAAAAGCAAATCCTTGATGGTCATGACAAGATCTACAAACGTGGGGCGCTCATCTGGTCTCTACAAAAAAGAGAGGGCATAAACTTTAACTATATGACTTTTGTCATGTTTAATAGATAACATTGCATTAATAGATAACAGGTTTAATTCACAAAATTATACTATTAGTATAAAGCTGTCTACCTCATGCCAGCAGCTGTTCATAATGGAAAAAACTTTGTCATTGGCCATTTGTGGCCGATAAAGCCGGTGTCCAGCAGAAATCTTCTCTACTATCTCTGTGTTGTTCCACCGATCATAAGGCATTCTGCCCAGAGTGTATACCTCCCACATCAAAACACCTGTCAGACAAAAAACAAAAAAGAAAATGAAACACTTGGTTTGACAGAACGTAAAGTTATGCAGGAAATGCAGTGGTAAGTGACGCACCAAATGCCCAAATATCTGACTTGCTGCTGAACTTGCAGTAAAGGAGGACTTCCGGAGGCGACCAGCGCACTGGGAACTTTGAACCAGCAGAGCTGGTGTATTCATCATCCAGTACATACCTGTATGAAAACCAATAATTTATATGCAGAGAGAATGTATGGCGAATTTTGCTTAAATAGTGTTGTCCGCCATGCATTCAATTACCTTGACAATCCAAAATCAGTCACTTTAATAGTTCCATTTGAGTCTACTAAACAGTTCCGAGCAGCCTATGAGAAAACAACAACGACAACAAAAAAAAAAACGTTTTGGAAATTTTAATAGTAAAATATCTCTTCCAGTTGAGGAATATGTTTGTGTTACACGAACCAGGTCTCTGTGGATGTACTGATTGGCTTCTAAGTAGGCCATGCCTTCGCTGACATCTTTACACATCTCAAGGAGAAGAATACTAGAGGGGTGCTGCAGGCCCTCTCGTAAATAATTCAGCAGACATCCATTGGCAAGATATTCTGTGACTATATAGATGGGTCGTTGTTTTGTGGAGACGCCATAGAGCTGGACCAGGTTTTCGTGACAGAGTTTCCTAGTGTTATACAGCAGAAAATGATTATAGAGAAATAAAGCTGAATGAAAAACGAGACATAAACACAAACAATGAATAATCAAGTGTATTAACAACTTTAATCACAATCACAGGAGAAACAGTGCTGTTCAAAATTAAAGTTTTTGAAAGAATCT